TTATTTTCAGTCCAAGTACATGGTCTTTCAAATCTGTTCTTTCATTAATTTTAACACTCTTGGATTGCGCGCGCGCCAAGCGTCACTCGCCTGCAGAAAATTCCCTGTTTTTGATTTATCAAATACAGTTGATTCTACTTACATTTTCCTGGAGATCGTGCATTTGAGCAAACTGAAATGCAGAGTACCAACAGAGCAATTGTGATGTTCTTCATTTTGGTGCGGTCTGCGAACTTGACAACGTTGATTGGGAATCTCAACTGAAAAAACCAAGCACTTGGAAGATATCTCTCGTACGAGTTGAAAGTTAATCTAGAGACTACAACTCAAGTTGCGTTTGTTATATAGCATACACTCACAATAGAGTCAACGATATAAACATTCTTTGGCCGCAAGCAACCGAAACTAATTTAAAATTATTCATTTTGATTTCCCGCCTTCAAGTTCAACTTTTAGTTCTTTGCGGCATATTTGTACAGAGAAATTTTGAAAGTGTCAATTTTCCTTTTTCAGGTCTACAAGAACATTCGTAGAAAGGGTCAAGTTTCAAATATATTAGATGCCATGATGTCAAACAAATCTTCGGAGGGAACCGTTACAGGACAAGATCATTATGCAAGTTTGCGATGCTTTTGAATTAATTCATTGCAGAGTGAATAGTTTGTTTATCTAACCTCATTTCACTGATTAGATTGCGAACTTAAATCTTAATTAAGCCGGAAAAAATTGCTGTCTTGACAGGAGATGTCAAAAACCGTCCGATTTTCACAATCATTCAACCAATTAACGTCAAGATTTGCGTTGTTTTGATTGACTTAGATAGGACTAACTATGGTTAAACAATATTCAACAGTACAGTCAAAGTTTTGCGCAGTTATTATTAGGGGTATGAATAAGATCTTGGAATCATTTCGATAGTTGTGCCTTGTTTGGCACTCTTGACGACCTAACTAGTTTGGATTTGTTGCGCGCAGTTAAATTTTCAGCGTTTTGAAGACCATAACCTAGAATTTTTTCAAGTTTGTTGTTCACAAATCTGGCCTCAAAGAGCGGATAATGTCATCCGACGAATAAATTACCATCCAGTGGATAGGAAGGCAACGAAGTATCGTTACTTCGCGGTGTTTGCTTGAGTAGACTAAAAATTCGGAAGCACAAAAGATCGTAATAGAACTGTATAATGCAGTAAATGGCTTGAACCCGGGGGTAACATGTGAAGGTGTAGTCTGATCGTCCGGGTGAGTGTAGAACTGTATAGATGCACAATTAGGGTTCGAGTCTCATTTAAATCACAACAAGCCAGATATATCTTATCTAACCTGGTGATAAAGGTTTTGAGAAAAGGAAAATTTAAAGACATTGAGCTAACAATTAACTTCAGTAATTACATTATCGAAAGCATGATACTTTATACTCGAAGGAACGTAAAAGTCTCGAGTTTGGCGCCAAAATGTGCTCGTAATGATTACTGGGTGTTTCAAAGTTAGGAGGGCTTTGTCAGTTGTGATTTTGCGCAACGCGTTCTTCAAGTTGTTGCATCTCAAAACTCGAAAACGTTTTCCGATTGGAGGAGAACCTGTCACGCGCCATAGGGTCAGAACTCACTAACTCCGAAGGGAAACGACAACTTGCTATTTGAAACCGCGGCTAATTGTATATATTATATACTTTCAGACAGTACTGTTTCGGCCTTCTGGGCTTCATCGATGCAGTGCTGATTCTAGGATGGAGGTTAAGCCATATAGCCACCCCAAATGATGCCACATAGGCCATGCCAGAGTGCTCAAACTAGTAACTAATGAGCCTGACATGACCCATCCAGTTTTCTATATTTTTTTATCATTATTATTTTTTGTAGTCATTGTTTTAACTTTAAGTTGAGAGTTACGACGAAACACTTAATACAGGAAATGGTATGAACCTGGGGGGAATATTTGATCATGTACAGTCTGATAGTACGGGTGACGGTAGTCCTGAGAAAGACTGTTTTTCGGTGATGGTGCCTGACATTTCAAGAATCTAGGCAGAAGTCAACAGCAGAGTAAAGTGAAGAGTTGCTGAATGACTAAAAAAAAGGACCGATTCCGAGAATACCTTCGCGACGTGGAGAGGAATGACAAGGTCACATCGAAACCAGTCGCTAGACATTTTAATTTACCTAATCATTGTAAGCAACATATGGCAATCTGCGGTCTTTCCTTACACTTAGCTAGCACAGAAAGCCGTAAAACTCTTGAACAAAAGATCATCTTTCAAACCGGCAGTCTAAATTAACCCCACATGTATCAACGAATGCTTTTCATTCCACTAATTTATTCGTGTTTTTCTCGTTGCCATGTTCCCACCAATAACGTAGCTCCATTTTCTGCCTTTAAATGCACACACAACCCACAATTCCTCTATTCGCTCCGACGAAGGGCTAACGCTCGAAACGTCAGCTTTTATAATCGTAACGGTGGCCATTTTACCATTTCAACTTTATCGAAATATTCAAATTATTTCGTTACCCCCACCGACGCAGCCCCAAACAGTTTCTTTGGGAACTATCAGCCTTTAAAAAAAAAAAAAAACACGTTACGATTAATTGTCGCCCTGTTGTCAACATGGGTATTCTATTCACCAGTCTCCATACATTCCTTTCAAAAATTGCGAGAATTTGTCAAAGATCTGGGTAATTTCCCTTTGGTGATAGTTTTCTCGATTCTAATGACCTTCAACAAGTTGTTGATTTTTTGAGAAGAATATTTGACCCCGATCATTCGTGAAGCTAACTCTTGAAGGTAACTCTTGAAGGTAACTCGTGAAGGTAACTCTAACGTTAACTGAGATAGCTAAATTTAATTATAAGCTTTAGAAACCTGCATTTATTGACTAGAATTGCTAAATCTTTCAATAAATTTTAAAGTAAAACTCTTCTCGATGACATCATCAAAACGATGCACTAATTATAATTAGCACTTATTAATTGTGACACAGTCGATTACTTAGTAACAATCAAACAAGCACGCGCTGATCGTATTCAATAAGCTTTAGAGAAACCCTGGCAGTTGTACCTTTAGGAAACATATCAGGCAGTTGAGGGATTGATCGAGATGGGTTGCGGAGGCTCCAAACTCCGTTCTTCGAATTTGAAAGGTGAGCGCTTTCAGAGTCCATCACTTATTCACAGGAGGCGAATTTTACTGACTTGCCTTGCGCAAGGACACAACTAAATGAGGGGTTGTTCACAAGGCGTACAACGCTATACACTGGATAAATCGCTCTCCAGCGGATATGTGTTAAAATAAAAGTACCACGCTATCCACCAGATTTAGATTATTTCTTTCGACCTCCTCCTGGTTAGCTCAGTTGGTAGAGCGCCGAACTGTTGTGCAGGAGGTCGAGGGTTCGAGCCCCGGCCGGACCAATTCTCATGGTCTTAAAATACTTCAGAAGAATTTGCTACCTCTCTATAACACCAAGAAATGGTTAGATGTTCTATCCTTCTCGGATAGGGACGAATAAGTGGAGGTCCCATCTCCTGCAGGGTTAGGGGTAGGAGACGGTAATTCCCACGCACGAGATTACTGTGTGATAGATGTTCTCCCATGGGTGGGATGGGTACTTACTGGGCCCGCAGTGATTGGCGCGAGCTGTTGTGGTGTCCCTGCCTGACGGAAAATCTTGTAAATAAATAAAACTAAAAGAAAAATACTGCGCTATCCACCAGAAATAGATTTGTCCAGTGGATAGTGTTATCCACCCTTGCAACAACCGAAACTGGAACATGTTGTACGATAAATTTCATTTTCAGAAACATGGAGGGCAATTGCTCAGTTGATTTGTGCTATACTGATTTCACCGCTTCTCTGACTTTGCATTTACCTTGTTTAGATTCCTCTCCTGATGGAGGGCCAGTTTCTAAACTTACGACGAAGCAAACGGCAACTACGTCGCCTGCTAAGGCGACCGATAACAAAAGGTAACTATATATGGTTCGCGAGGTACCTCCCTGAGACCCTCTCTGTTGGCTTTAAAACAAGTTGCTGCAATTCATTTCCTGGCTGTAATAACTTGTGTATGCGAATAGAAAGCAGTTTGACTGCGACTTGCTCGTTGT